GATCTGGCCTTAGACTAAGAATAGCTAAGAGCATTGTTATAATCTGGCCTTAGATTAAGAATAATTTAAGAGCACTATTGAAATAGTATCTGAATTGAATAAAATGTATTGATATGAACTGAACAATACCAAAACTGTGAATGTCTGAAATGAACATTGTGTGCATGATATCAAATGATTTGATTATGAATTTAGATTCAGTTTATATGGATGTTCGACGCATTAGATATGCTTACTCAGCTTTACCGCTGAGCGTGTAGTGTGTTTTATTTGCTACCCACAGGTAAGCAGAAAGCAGAATGTGATCCTGGCGGCAGATGGGGCGAGATTGTCGGGATGGATGTGACAAGTGTTGAAACAATTTATGATATGTCAATATTAAAATCGCTTCCGCAATATTGTTGAATACTCCGTATTGTATATGTATTGAAAAATATTATTGGGATTAATAAAGTGTGTTTGAAAAGGTTTAAATTTTTACGATTACCAAGTTAAATACTTTAGTCCGAATGGGGCTGCAGACCTGGATGGATTAGGGTGTTACAATGACCCACCTCGGAAGACGTCAACTGACCCTTCACCGAGCGCTTCGAGGAAGAATGCTGCAACAGTAAAGAAATGAAAGAGGCAGGGGATAACCAAATTGAAGGAGAAGTACCTGCGAATTCAGTCGAGAGCTTCTCCCAGCGTTTTGCAGAAAGTGGTTGAAGCTCTGAACGAAGTTCAAAGGCGGGAGGTTGTGAGGATTGGGTTTGGGTCTATGTTAAGGATCAAGTTAACTGAGCTTCCGGCGAAACTAGGATTTTGGGTTGTAGAGAAATTCAATCCTAGGAGTAGCAGTATTGAACTTGCGGACGGAACAAAGGTGTGTGTGATAGTGGATGATATTAGACATGTTTTGGGTTTGCCGTGTGGGCATGTGAAGGTATTAAGCAAAAAAGTAGGTGAGAAGTGTGATATACTGGAGCAGTTGAGGGTAGAGATCGGAATGAGGGACAACAAGATCAGCCCTTTAGAGCTTAGTGAAAAGGTACTGCAATATACTGATGGTGGTGTATCGTTTGTTCGTCTTTTCGTGTTGTTAGTCGTGTCAGTTTTGGTTGATAGCCCGAGCCATGGGTATGTAAACAATTGGGTTTTGAAAAGCTTGGAGGATGTGGATGGGATTGCACAGTTAAACTGGTGTGAATATGTGCACCGAGCATTGATTGAAAGTAGAGTGAAGTGGGAGAAGGGGAATAGAAAATACTATACTGGACCTCTATTTTGCTTGATGGTAAGAGTTTTGTTTTCTGACAACTCTAATTTACTTTGTTCGAACACACTTTGTACGATAAACTAAAGTCGTGTTCATTTCTGACAGGTTTTGATAATTGCCAAACCGCCGTGGATATGAAGAGTTTCGTTGAATAAATCAAGTCGTGAAGAATGGCTTGGAACAAGACCAAAAAGACTCAAGGACAAGATCAAGAATTGAAGACTTAGTCGAGTCGGTCTTTTGTGATCAAAACCGACAATAAATTCAAGTCTCGGTTCTCAAAGAGTCAAAACAATTTTTACAAATCATAAAATATTTTTGTGCATCAAAATAAATATTTTTGATGATTTTTTATTGTTAAAATCCCTGGTCCTTGCTCGGCATTCGGCGTTCGGCTTTCGGCATTCGGTTTTTGGCGCCCGAACTAACTCCGTGGTTTTCAACATTTTAAACCCTATTTTTACCTCTGAGCATTTTTAAAATATTCCCAAATAATTATTTTATAAAAACCACTTTTGTATCTTGGTCAATCGGTCTAACACGTGAAAAACGGTCAAAACCGTATGCACATGATGTACGACCTTGGAGACTTGGTTTTTACCGAACAAGTCTCGTTTTCACCATTTTATACCATATAAAATGTTTTTCAAACCTGGTTTTTACTTTTAGGAACACTTCGTTTTTGGACCTAGGTTTTTCAAAACGGGTTTCAGCTGGCTAGACTTTAGCTAGGTGATAATCGATTATCACTTTGGTGAAAATCGATTATTTGCCTCTACAGCTTTGAACTCCAAAGTTCTGAAGCAGCAATAGTCGATTATCACATTTGCAATAATCGATTATCAGTCTGTGCAGCCAAAACCCAGAATCTTCTGAGAGGACCGATAGTCGATTATCACTTGTTGACAATCGATTATCTGGGTCACCTGTTCTTATCTTTGCCCATGATGAAGAATTCTAAAAAACGATTAGAGAAGACAAAAATATGCAAGGGAATGAAGAGATTTGTGTTTGTGTGTGGAGAAGTGAGGAGAAGAGGCTCCAATATATAGGAGAAGAGAGTTCCAACGTTCAAAATTCAAAAAAAAATGGCTGTTGGAGTAATTAATGCCCATGCCAACGGGTATTTTTTTTGAAAATTTTGACTGAACAGCGATGTTCTACAGGCGACATCACTGTTGGGACAGTGCTGTTGTGACTTGTACAGCGCTGTTCTGCATCAAGTTTTAAAAAAACAGGAGTCAAAAGGACAGCGATGTTGAGTACCCTATAGCGATGTTCCAAAAGTTTCTGGAATTGTGTAAGGGTTTGAACCCATTAGAACAGCGCTGTTGGGTTTCTCTACATCGCTGTTTTACGATAGAGGAAAAATTTGTAAAAGTGGACAGCGTTGTTGCAAAGGTGGACAGCGCTGTTGGAAAACTTTCTGGTTTTGTTTGAAAACAAGGTATAAGGGAAAGGGAATTCCCTGGGGCAGCGCTGTTGGCCTCGTGTACAGTGCTGTTGGCAAACTTTTTGGTTGACGTTGTTTCTCTCAACAGCGTTGTTGGGTCTCCTGGACAGCGCTGTTTGCATGGCTCCCCCTGATTTCATGAACGGGGTACCTGCAAGAAAAAGAAAAAGTTCTCCGACGCTCAAGTTAGTAAATGTTTAATAAGTTTAGATGCACAACTTATATCATGGTGGAGTCAAGGATTCCGAGTTCACTTCGAATGCGGAAGAACGACTCTTTCTCTAAAGGTTTTGTGAAAATCTCGGCTAATTGGTTGTGTGTTTCAACAAACTCAATTTCGACATCACCTTTGAGAACATGATCTCTAACGAAATGATGCCTAATGTAAATGTGTTTCGTCCTTGAGTGAAGAACGGGGTTCTTCGTCAAGCATATGGCGCTAGTATTATCACAACGAAGAGGGACGTGGTTGATACTAAGGCCATAGTCCACGAGTTGTTGCTTCATTCAAAGGATTTGAGCACAACAACTACCGGCGGCTACATATTCTGCTTCGGTTGTGGATTACGCAACACTGACTTGTTTCTTGCTAAACCATGAAATTAAAGAGCTACCAAGTAAGTGGCAAGTCCCACTTGTACTATTACGGTCCAATTTGCAACCGGCAAAGTCCGAGTCGGAATAGCCAACGAGATGACAAGAAGAGCCTTTTGGATACCACAGTCCAACGTTAACCGTGCCGGAAAGGTATTTCATGATCCGTTTTACCGCCGTTAAGTGCGATTCCTTCGGACACGATTGATACCTTGTGCAAAGGCATACGCTAAACATGATATCCGGCCTACTAGCAGTAAGATAGAGAAGGGATCCGATCATACCTCGATACTTTTTGACTTCTACTTCCTTACCTTTCTCGTCTTTGTCAAGATGGTCAAACGTGCTCATTGGGGTCGCCATGGCTTTGGCGTTGTCCATTTCAAATCGTTTTAGGAGCTCCTTGCAATACTTAGCTTGGCAAATGAACGTGCCATCTTTCATTTGCTTGACTTGGAGTCCCAAAAAGAATGTGAGCTCGCCCATCATTGACATTTCAAATTCGCTAGTCATTAGCGTTGAGAATTCCTTGCACAAAGACTTATTAGTAGCACCGAATATAATATCGTCTACATAAACTTGAACCAAAAGAATGTTATTGTTTTTACTCTTGATAAAAAGTGTGGTGTCTACCTTTCCCCTTTGGAAACCACTATCCAAAAGAAATTTACTCAAACGTTCGTACCAAGCACGGGGTGCTTGTTTAAGACCGTAGTGCGCTTTCTTGAGTTTGAAGACATGATCGGGAAACTCAAAGTCTTCAAACCCCGGGGGCTGGTCAACATACACTTCCTCTTGAATAAAACCATTGAGGAAGGCACTCTTAACATCCATTTGATAAAGTTTAAAATCCATAGACGAAGCAAAAGCAAGAAGTAAACGAATAGCTTCTAAACGTGCTACGGGTGCATAGGTTTCTTCAAAATCAATGCCTTCTTCTTGATTGNAAACTTAAGTTTTGGAATGCCAATTACTAAGTCTTGTGAAACCAATTTGTTCAAAAGGTTCATGTTCATATGAGCTACCCTTCGGTGCCATAACCAAGTGTCTTCCTCTTTACTCATGAGGCACTTAGCAAAGCCGGAAGGAGATTTGTCTAAGTTAACCATATATATGTTATCGATTCTATCACCACGTAGAATGACCTTATTGTCACTAAGGCGTTCTACCGTGCATGGTTTTGAATCGAAGGTCACACGGTTTCCCTTGTCACATAATTGACTTATGCTCAAGAGATTGTGTTTAAGACCTTTAACAAGCAAGACATTATCTATAGAGGAGTTTTCAGATTTACCTACCGAACCAATGCCAATAATCTTTCCCTTGCTATTATCTCCAAAAACTACGTTTCCTCCTTTAGCGGGTTTGATTTGGAGAAACTTGGATGCATCCCCGGTCATGTGCTTGGAGCATCCGCTATCAAGGTACCAAAGTACACTTGATGCCTTCAAGCACACCTATGAAAACACATCAATGAGTTTTAGGTACCCAATTTACGTTGGGTCCTCGGGTGTTAGGTGTGTCATGGTAGTGTGCTTGATTTTGTGATAGGTGCATATGCCTAGTGTAACAAACGGGAGCAATATGGCCTATCCTATTACAATAATGGCAAACTATGTTGGGGTTGTACATGTGCCTAGGTTCATAATAGTTAGAGAGTTTGACCATTTTGTTCCTATTTTGTGAAAACAATGGTTTTCGAAAATTTTGAAACTGGCCTTTTCTAGGTGCTCTAGCATTATTTCTTCTAATTTGAGAAAATTCATTTTTATGCACAAAATCATTTTTCTTAGGTTGTCTACCATAACCATTTTCGTTCCTAGGTTTTAGTCTAGGTTGTCTAGTGTCCTTAGGTTGACTAGGTTTTCTATTATCTTGATTTTTAGGTTTCTTATGTTGAACCTTAGATGATTGTCTAGGTGGTGGCTCAATATTATCTTTAGCTTTATTTTTATCAAAACCTATTCCTTCCTTAGAAAAATGCATAGTGTCAAGAAGTAAATTTAAGTCTTTGTGAGGAGTATTAAATTTCTTGACCGTGCTCTCAAGTTTAGCGACTTGCTCATTTAATGTTTTACAAGACCCACATTCACTTGATGAACTTTCTGGTTTGTCAGCGCTTCTTTTTCCAAAAAAGTTGTTTTCTTGTTTAAGTATTTCATTTTCTTTTTCCAATTTTTCAAAATCGTTTTCAAGTGAGGAAAGACGTTTCTTCAAAGATTTATTTGTTTTAGAAGAGCTAACAAATTCCTCATAAATTTCATGAAGTGCATCTTGCATTTCTTCAAAAGTATAGGAGTCAGAAGAAATGGTACATACCTCTTGGACGTCGTCGTTTTGATCTTCGTACGCCATGAGGCAGAGATTTGCAGCTTCGCCCTCCTCTTGGTCGGTTGATTTGTCGCCGGAATCGCCACCCCAAAAGATGTAAGCCCTTTGCTTCTTGAAGCCGGGCTTATCCTTGTCGTGTTTTGCTTTTGGACACCTTGGCTTGATGTGGCCAATCTCGCCACAGCCGTAGCACTTGGGACGACCGTCGTGCTTCCTTCCCTTCCACTCAAATTCCTTCTTCATGAACTTGTGGAACTTCTTGATGACAAGTCCAAATTCGCTGTCATCATCGCTTGAAACCTCCTCTACGGTCTCATTGGTTGCTTTGAGCGCTATTCCTTTCTTCTTTTGTTCATCCAAAGACGGGGTTAGAATAGTAGATTAATAAGTTTTGAGGTTACCTCTTAGCCCGTCGATAGTGACATTGGAGACTCCGATGGACTCGTAGATTGCATCGGCTTTTGACCTCCATTCAAGTGTGAGACTCCACAGGATTTTCCTCACGAGATCCTTGTTGGCGTAAGTCTTTTTGAGAGCATGAAGGTCGTTGATGATTTTTGAGAACCGGTCGAACATGTCATCGATTTTCTCACCTTCTTTCATTCGGAACATTTCGTACTCTTGAGTGAGAAAATCGATCTTGGCTTCACGAACTTGATCAGTACCTTCGTACGTCACTTCAAGCTTGTCCCACATCTTCTTGGCAGTTGTGCAGCAGGAGATTTTCCGGTAGTCATCGGGGTTGACCGCACAATATAGCATATTGATGGCCTTTGCATAATTCTCAATCTTCTTGATGTCCTCGGCATCAAACTCATCTTCGGTCTTGGGGATCAACTTGTCGTCAACTTTCTTCATCGGGATTTCCTCTCCGTTTTTGATGACCAACCATAATTGGAAGTTGGTGGAACGGATATAGATTCTCATCCGTTCCTTCCAATAGGAATAGTTGGTTCCGTCAAAGAGTGGTGGCCTAGAAGTTGATTGACCTTCTCCAACTCCTGCATAGAGATTTCTAGAAGAAGAACCCATGATCGCTTTACTCTCAAACGGTTAAGTTTGGACGCGAGTTAGGTTCCGATACCAATTGTTAGAATAATAGACCAACGCTAGAGGGGGGGTGAATAGCGTTTGATCAAGAAATCGCAGGAATAAAAAATGAATAAACGAGAAGTAAAGAGAAGATTAAGAGGCACACCGATTTTACCCTGGTTCACCATAACTTGTGGCTAATCCAGCCTCCTGAGAGACTCTCTCGAGCTACACTACTATCTTGTTAAGCTTAACGGAGCTTAACAAACCCGTACAACTTGAGAGTTCGAGTCACACGAACCTCAACGAACCTTCGAAGGAAACAACCCTTCCTTCGAACAACAAGAGAAATACTTTCTCTTGTCAAGTGTCTAAGAACACTAAAAACACTCAAGAACAATACTCTCTTTTAGAGTGGATAATGAGTAACTAAGAACGCTCAAAAACACAACACAAGCTTCACAAAAATTGCTCTCAAACAGCTATGAATAAAGGATGAATGATTTGCAATGAAGGAGTAGAGATTGTGAAGTAATGTGATGTATAAAACAGACCCAAACACCCCATTTTATAGTGGAAAAATAGGCTCCAACGGATCAAAACATTTAAGGGGTGATTGGCACAATTTGTGGGATTTGATTAAATTTGGATCTACTGAAATTCACCCAGACAGCGCTGTCCTAGGCTTGGACATCGCTGTTCTAGGCTTGCGTTTTGAAAATTGGGAAGCAACGGTCATGCCAACAGCGATGTCCAATACTCCTACATCGCTGTTTTGGCTGTTGACTTCCAAACGAGGAAAGTTTTAGCCTTAAATCCCTTCCAACGGTCAGGTCCCTACATCGATGTTCAATACTTGAACATCGCTGTTTAGGTCTGACTTTGAAGGTGGAGTTTTGGCCTGACAGCGCTGTTGCTGGTCAACATCGCTGTCCAAAAACTTTCTGCCAATGCACTATATTTTTGGCTTAGGTTGGACAGCGCTGTAGGGAAGACTACATCGTTGTTCCAAATGTTTCAGGAAACCCAACCTTGGCTCAACAGCGATGTCTAATATGCAACATCGCTGTTGGAAGACTTAACGCCAAACCATGGTGTTCAGCTACTCAAGCCAGACAGCGCTGTTGGGCTGGTTTAGCTAGACCCATGGTTGGTTTAGTCATGCCGTTAGCCGATGTCAAAAACGTAAGTTCTCCAAAAGAAAAACCAAGTGTTGAAAACATTTGTTTATTGTATTTTGCTAAGAAATCAAGTAAAAGAACTCAAAAATCACGTCATTTAGTTGAAAACCACGGCTAACCAAGTTTGTGTCGTTTCGCATGGTTTTCACTAAACGACCAAAAACGGAAGATGGTTTTTGAAGCGTTTTTGTTGGAAAACTGTTTAAATATGCCCAGAAGTAAAACCCAATCATAAAAAGTTGAAAAACACTTGGTTGGTTCGGATGCCAAAAACCAATGTCGAAAACCGAAAGCCGACGCCGGTTTCTGAAAGCCGAACGCCGGATGACTTGGTTTTTGGTTTGGGCAAACTCCAAGTGTTTTTAGCCATGTTTAAAAACTTATGAAAAACATTTTTGAATTTGCAAAAAGGGTTTTGATGAATTGAGCCTAGAGAGCCAAGATTTGGAAGTTTGTGCCGGTCTTGATCACATTAGGACCGACTCAATGCAATTCTAATTCTTTGTTCTTGATTCTTGGTTCTTGGTTCTCATGTCATCATGCCATGTTTCTTCGCCTTGGTTTTGCTCACTTTAGCCTTGTTGTGCCACGGCGGTTTAGTACGACGTAGGCGTAAACCCGTGTTCCAACAACTTTGACTTTGTCAATTACCCTTATGCTCAAATGGTCCCCTACGCTCCTCCACCGAATGTCGGGGGTGCACCAAGCGGGACTAATAACGTTGGGGGAGATGAAGAGGTGGACGATGAGGATGAGGAAGAAGAAGAGGAAGCGGAAGCCAATGATGATGATGATGATGATGGCAGTGGTGATGAAGAGGAAGACGAAGACATTGACGAAGAACAGCTTCTCAATGATCTTTCACCGGACTTCTAGAGCTCTAGCTCTATGTTGAAACAAGGGCTTGTCACGTTTTCGTACTAAAGTCGTGTTCGTTTTTGTAAAAGGTTTTGATAATGCCAAACCGCCGAGATCAAGTCGAACATTGAATATACAAGGCGAAGAACGAAGATAAGAGCAAGAGCTAAACAAAGACCAAGAACGAAGACCTTAATCATAGTATTGAGTCGGTCTTTATTGTGATCAAGACCGACCCAATCTTTACACCTTGGCTCTTTAAGCTAAAATCTCTCATTGCACTTCTTACATCATAAAAATGTTTTTCAAACTTGTTTAAGTCATTAAAAACACTTGGTGTTCGCCCAAACCAAAAACCAAGACATCCAGTGTTCGGCTTTCAGAAACCAGCGTTCGGCTTTCGGTTGTCGGGTTTGGTTTTTGGCATCCGAACCAACCAAGTGGTTTTCAGCATTTTATGATCTTCTTTCACTCTTTGGCATGTTTAAACGGTTCTCCAACAAAAACACTTTGAAAACCATCTCTCGCTTTTAGTCGTTTGACAAAAACCACGCAAAACGGCGTAAACTTGGCTAGCCGTGGTTTTTACTCAAATGACGTGATTTTTAAAGTGTCTCACTTGATTTCTTAGCCAAATACATCAAATAAGTGTTTTAAACACTTGGTTTTTATTTTGGAGAACTTTGGATTTTTCGGTCGGTTTTTGCATCGGTTGGCTAGGCCGTGGTTAAGGCAAAAACCATAGGTTTTTGGCTAACCACCCACCCAGCGATGGGAAGAACATCCCATCGATGGGTAAGTAGCCCCTTAGCCAAACCAACTTCCAGAACCATG